TAGACCTGAACCTCTGTCTCTACTTCTAAATCCCCCATAGTGAGGAAGCCCCTGATGGGCCTGAGTTGTTACTTCCTGTGGCCATTGCTGGGAAGTGCCCTGGATGCCTCTCCTGGCTGGTGACGGCCCTGGGCCTGGACACTGGGTTTGTCCTGAGTTGTTACTTCTTGTGGCCATCACTGGGAAGTGCCCCGGATGCCTCTCCTGACTGATGATGACCCCGGGCCTGGACACTGGGTTCGTCCTGAGCTCTGCGAGGGGCTTGGGCTCCACGCGCAGCAGGCACTTGCGCATCCCTTTGGATGTGAGATGTTGGCGCTCGGCTTGGAGGCCACCGCGATCTAAGTGTGGTCAGGACTGGCTCATCCTTTTGGGAAGAGAGCACCTGCCCAGGGGCCCCTCTGAGGTACATAACCCTGCAGTGCCCTCACAGGATGCCCTGTCCTCCGAGGACTTCCTGCCATTTCCCTGGACCTCAGGTGAGGGAGTCAAGTGTGGTGTGTGTGTCATGGGCGGGGGTGCAGAGGACACCACGTGTCTGTTCATGCAAAGACCCGAGGCGCTGCATGGGCTCATTTCCGGGGAGCCGTTGGCATCTGGGGGCCTGTGGGTGTCTTTCCACTGACAGGAAATAATGGGTGGCCCATGTTACCATTTCATTTTTTTTCCCAAAAACCCTAATGCCAACGTCGCTGTCCTGCTGTGGGAACCGCCCATCACAGGCTCACTGGCCCTCCTGTTTCTGGGCTGTTGCAGTGTTGTGTTGGGATAACTGTTAACTTCGTTTGAATTTTCTTCCTGTTCTTTTGGAATAAGCGTTGATAGCTTCTGCTGCTTGTTCACCCCAGAGGCGAGGGTGTCCTTTAGGCCTGGAGGGGCACAGCCCGTGCAGGGAGGTGCCGGGCCTCGGCCTCTCTTGTCGTCTGCAGCCCTCACCGCACGTCTGCTCTTCTCTCCTCGTGCACACGGCCAGGGTCACGGGCTGCTCGCTCTGCTGTTTGAGATCCTCAGAAAAGGTGGTGTTTACACTGAAGGGAGATTGGGAGTGTGTGGCTGATTTTAAATAGGAGGAAATGATGCTAACAGAATGAGCAATGCCTAGCACTTAGTCTCAGGCTTGAGAAATTGTGTTTTAGAAGCAAGGTATCCCCAACTCCGGTTTTCTTCAAATTAAATCTTTTAAAGAGTCCGCAAATATAGTTAAAGCCTAAAACTATGCAACAGAGGGCCTAGAGCCCAAGCCACTGCCACCTCTGTCTCCAAGACACCTCAGAAGCTTGGTCCTCCTCCTCAGAGAACTCCCCTTCTACTCCTCCCTCCACAGCCCTCTCCCTCCCCCTCCCTTTACCTGGACAGCCCTCCCCCCCTTTCCTCCTTCCACCCCTCCCACCCCTTCCTCTGCTTCCACCCCTTCCTTTCTTTCCTCCCCTTCCACCCCTTCTTCTCCTTCCTCTCCTTCCTCAGACAGCTTTCTTCCTCTTCTTCCCTCTCCCAGTCCTTGGGCAACCTTCTTGGAACTCTGAAAGTCACTGGTCTGTGGGTCTGCCCAATTGACGGACGAGCACGCTGAGGCCCAGGCACAAGTGACTGACTCAGACCCCCGCAGAGGCTGACCCAGCGCGGATGCCGTCTCCTGCCTCCCGTACCACCAGGTTGTCCCTAATGGAAGAGAATCAATGATTCTGCTTCACTGATCTCCAAGGAAAGCCAGTCGATAACAGGTTATAAACACGGGAACGTTTTGGAAAAGTCATCATCCACTTGTCAGCTCCATCTCTCCTGCCCGGAAGATGTAGGGAGAACCTGCCTTCAGCCCACCCTCATCCCGTAACAGGACAGAGGACAAAGGGGCGGAGACCCAAGTCCTGTCAGTGCCCTCAGGTTTCCTCCTCATGGTGGAAGTGGAAAGCATCCCGCTGGACTCCATCTTCCCGGGAAGCCCCTCCACCCCGAAAGCAAGGAATCTGGTTTGAGCACACACACATTCTTGGTGCCATCACTTTCTGCAGCTCAACTCTGCGTACATGGCCCATTAATCTTGCTAGTCTGGTGTTACTGGGTCCTGGGAGTTTCTGTGGGCTGATGGCAGGTGTTTACCATCATGTTTAGAGAGAAGAATAGAACTTTATTGTGTCGAAATCAAATGATAACCATGGCCATGTGATTCCTTGGGTTGGTTGGGGCGGGGGTTTCTCAAAGCTTTTCCTGAGGTCTAAGTTCTTGTTTGAGACAGTCTCACTTTGTCACCCAGGCTGGAGTGCAGTGGTGCAATTTTGGCTCACTGCAACCTCCGCCTCCTGGGTTCAAGCAGTTCTCCTTGCCTCAGCCTTCCAAGTAGTTGGGATTATAGGTGTGTGCCACCACGCTTGGCTAATTACAAAAATTTTTAATACAGGCTGGGTTTTGCCATATTGACCAGGCTGGTCTCGAACTCCTTGTCTCAAGTGATCGGCCTACCTTAGCCTCCTAAAATGCTGTGATTACAGGCTTTAGCTACTGCGCCCGACCTGATCCTGACATCTTTTAAAGCTGCCTTCATGTACCAAAGGCCAGTCTATGTTTGAAAATGAGTCCTGAAGAGCCTAGGAGGAGAGGGATATACTTCAGCTAGGTAAATAACTATGCATATGTTAAAAATATGGGCCAAAATCTACCCAAAATGGTTAACTCTTCTGCTTTGTTTTATATCCATTTATGGTTATTCTTTTAGTACTAAGATTTTAAAAGATTATTTTGATAATTATGGACAAATTACTATTAAAACTCAGCTGCATTTGTAACACTTTAAAGAACTAATTGGATGACATTATTTTTCTCGGAGGCATTTTGGATAGTTACATAATTAATGCTTATCTCTTTGCCAGAAATCTTTTTTTTTTTTCCCCAGAACAGAAACCTGAAAAGAAACATTCCTTTGCATTGCTATTTCACTGTGTGACAATCAATTTTTGAATGTGAGAACAAGATCATCGTGTATTTTTTGGGATAATTCTTGCTTAATAGTGATAATGCTAAGTGTTAAAATTATGGAACAATTTCTTTGAAAATTACTATTTGCTCACCAGGTGGGAGCTGATGAGAACGTAGATGTAAAAATTAAATTGTATTTACCTTGTATAAAAGAAGTTTAAAAAAACCTTTTTTGTTTTGTGCTACTACTGAAGTTGCTTAGCTGTGGAAATGAGGTTACTGCAGGCACCTAGAATTTTGTCTCCTTAACTTTCACAATGGGAAGAAATTCTCCAACAAGCACAGGAATCTGACATTCTGATATTGAGACTCCTAGGCATCAAGCCCCATGGAAGGGGTGGTGATTACGTGAGCGTTGGCATTGATGTGGGCATCCTCCTAGCCGGATGCAGGGAGCAGGGAACGGCAGAACAGGGTCCTCAGGAGCCATGAGAAAATAAAGTGCTGGCAGCAGTTGTGAGGGTTGGTGTCAGGGGCCAGGAGGAGGTGGCGAAGGGAGCACGTCCCTCAAGGCAACCCTGGACCCCACGGTCCCTGCAGTGAGGTGTGGTCTGCAGTGGACATGAACGGCCACGCGGCGAGGCCCACAGACAGTCTGGACGTGGCTGCCTCAGAACTCTGGTGGACGTTGTAAACGGCCCCAAAGGGTTGCAGTACACATTCCTCGGAGAGAGAAGACGCTTGGAACTGTTCCCGGCATGAAGCCAGCACCCTGTGAACAGTGGCCACTGCTGTTGTGACTGAGTGCCGTCCAACTGGGGGCATTTGCTCTGCTCAGTTCATTTAATTGGGCCAGGAATGGGGTTGCCTTGCCTTCAACAAGCTTGACGCATTGAACGAGGACTCAGTCAATAATGTACTGTGTAAGTACACTCTCCCAGCTAGAGTGAGCAAAGCCCAGGAAGCGGGTGGTTTTTCAGTATTAGCCATGTATTTGTGGTGGGGCCAGCTGTGTGGCTGCCAGAGCGAATGTGACCAGGAAGCCTCTGTCCCCCCCCGGAAGTGGCCAGCATTCCTGTTACACGTGTCATAGGCAGAAGGTGGGCACTGCTCGGGAATTTGCCCATGTTCCTGTTTTCTGATTGGAAATTCAAGGTTTCTGAGCATCCCCTATGTCGAATTTTTACATTGCTGAGACTGTACACATTTCAACACTTGTTTTTTTCTGCTTTTCAGATCTAGACAACCTGGCACTTGGCCGTGGCTTCCAGGACAGGCTGGATGCAGAGGGAAGTCCTCTCCTCACTGTCAATGTTTGCAGATGTCTAGTAGCTTATGTTTAAATATATTTCTTTTGTCTAAAGCAAGTCATAAATTCTAAAATGAATGACTAAACATAATAATTTAGGCATACAGCACCTGAAGGGAAAACTGCCAGTATGCTAAAATATTGGATACAGATGCTTAAAAAAATATAATGAAGCATTCTCACAATGCATATGCTTTTAGCATGTAACTTGGTGAGTAGTTTTGAGCTATATATGTAGGAATGTGTATCTTGAATACTTCAGGGCACCACTGCAGATGTGTGCATGAGATGTATAAATACTGAATGTTCTTCTCCCTTCCCTTAAATGAAAAACATTAGCTCCCTTTATTTTTATTTTTTTGAAGTGGACTCTCGCTCTTATTGCCCAGGCTGGAGTGTAGTGATGCAAATCTTGGCTGACTGCAGCCTTCACCTCCTGGGCTCAGGTGATCCTCCCACCTCAGCTTCCTGAGGAGCTGGGACTAGACACATGTCACCACGCCCAGCTAATTTTTTTTTTTTTCTTTTTTTGGTATTTTTATTAGAGACAGGGTTTTGCCATGTTTTCCAGACTGGTCTCGAGCTCCTGGGCTCAAGCAATCTGCCTGCCTCAGCCTCTCAAACTGCTGGAATTACAGGCATGAGCACCACATCTGGCCCATTTTTTTTTTTTTTTCCTTCCAGGACTAGAAGTTGACTTTCAGAAAACCCTTCAACCTTGCAAACTTAATTTTCCATAATAACATGCCTCTAGGATAAAAACAAGACACAAACAAAGAAGTACGTATGGACTGCAGTTAAAATTTTTCAACACAACATAGCTTAGGAAGGTTGACATTTACAAAGAGCAGCAGGCCCGTTCAGTGCCTTATAGGCACTGGGAATGGCGGTCTGTGGGCAACCCTAACGTGTGCGGCGTCCTGAGACGTGATCGTGGTGCTCACGCTTTTACCAAGGGTCTCCCAGGAGTACCAGAGGCTCTAGTTCTGCCGTCCGCCAGCCAGGCAGCAGCTGCTGGAGAAGGAACAAACAGCAAAAGACAGATGTACACGGTGTTGTTGTGGCATAGAGGTTAAAAGCAGGCTCACTTTGTTCTTACAGTTTTAAAAAACTAATAATGAAGTCCTTAAATATGTATCGCATTTCAGGATTTTCAAGTAGTTGTGGGTGTGTCTGTGTCTCTCTAGCTCCCGTTTGGGTGCTCCCTGCGAAGAGAGCTCAGAGACGTCACCTTTCTTTGATGAAGTGACAGGGCCTGGAGAGGTGTGAACCCCGTGGTGGGGGGGTGACTGACCTGGAGGGGAGGCTGGGTCAACGTAGGGATCCACCCGCACTCCACATTCCTGTAGGGAATCCACAGTTCTAAGTCTTTATGATATGGGTAAAATGAACCTGGAAGAGGTGTTATTTTTTAAGAAGTGCCATGTTCCTTTTTCCTCATACTTCTCTGTGTTTAAGAAGCATTGAAGGATAAGGCACTAGTAGCATGTTTGTTTGGAAACAATCTTGGTTATTTTACATTGAATCTGATATTAAGGTTGCCTGGTAACAGAAGTTTTCCTTTAACAACATGGAACTCTGATGAATCTGTGGCCCCATTGGCTGAGTCATCTGAAATCAGTGCAGTGGAAGCTGAAGAGGCCGTTTCCCCCTTGGAGGAAGCCACTACATTGGCAGGAGGCACCGCCCTTGATTGAGGGAGTGAGGCGGGTTTGCGGGGACCCCACGCGGCACCTGCGGCTCTCTCCTGCCCTCTGCTGGCTGGCCAAGCAGCCTCGCGACAGTGTGCTCAGCGTGAATGTTCAAGGGGCAGGCCAAGGCTTTTGTTCCAGAATCACTGACTTCAGAAACGGCCGGCCCTGTGTGTTGAGCATGGCAAGAAAGACCTACATGTGTCTTAAACCTCTTGAATAAAGCAAGTTGATGTCTCAAATGCATCTCAAAGGCTAATGACTTTGCTATGCTCAATATTCAGGAGAAAATAGGGTTGGATGAAATAGACAGGAGTGGCAAGTGACGTGCTTGTGCCCCGTATGACTAAGCGATGTCCTGGCTGTTCCACACCACGGCCTTTGAGCAGCCAGCGTGCAGATACTGGGTCAATTTAGATATCTCTGATCTCTACAGAGATTTGATCAGGCAGCCCAGGAGCAGATAAACACAAATGATGACTGGAAACCCTGGCACAAGGAGGCGCAGGAAACAGCAAGTTGCTATTAACATCATAGTGAGACGCAGTCGCCTGCTCTCTCAGGAGTGTCAGCTGCTTTTGCTTCTAGACTTTCGTCTGCGTTACAATACAGTTTTGTTCACTTTATCCCCATTACTCCGCTGTCTTCGCTGTTAAAGTCTCAGCCAGCACTTAGCTCTGACACTGCAGGAATTTCACTGTGTGGCTGACCAGGCCTGGCTGGCATGGCTGTAAAGCAGGCGAGAGCTTTACGGAAGGCAGTGACGAGAATCCGAGGCAGGAAAGAGCGTCGCTGGTCCACATACGGCAGTGCACCTGCAGCAGAGCATGTACGTGCACGTTCAGGCTAAACAGGTGTAGGAAAGAAGAAAACCGCCTATGATTAGTCACTTAAAATGCCACACACCCTACCCTTGAGACCCTAGGACATACAGTAGTAGGGGTCTTGGAGACGGCAGGTGTGTTGAAGTCTGATTTTCTCAGTTTTCCAGAAGCGTTTTCCTCCTCTGTAAGCTGGGGCTAACAACTGCCCCGCATAGATTTGTGAATGGAACCAACGCGTGTAAAGTGGGGTAGCCCCCAGGACCTAGGAAGGACTCATGGTCAGTGTCGGTGGTCATGCGTGCTGTACGGGTCCCCCAGGAAGACGATTGCTACAGATAACTCCCTCTGTTCGATGTCACTGAATGTAAAAGGTGGGACCTTGGCTTCTGATGTGTCTGGTTTGCTGCAGGCGGCGCTGCACCCCGTGGTTCCTGAGCCCTGGGCTGAAGTACGCCCTGCTGCATCGCCTGTGGTGCTTTTGCTGTGTAACGAGAGCTCCTGCCCTGGGAAGCTTCCTCGCACCTGACGAGCACCACAGGCTGCAGCAAGACCTGTCCAAAGCGTGGACTGGGAGGAGCCCGCTTCGGACAGGTCCTGTCCTCTCCAGGCTGGGAGTGACTTTGTGGGGTTTGTCGGCCCTTCTCTCAGGTGTCCTGTGTCTCATGGATGAGCCAATGAGCCCTGTCAGATGCCTGTCTCCTGTCTGGACGAGCACTCTCTGAAACACTGCCTGCCACCCAGATCTCCTGGTGCAGAGTGAGGCCACATCTGCAGACCTTACCGCCCAGAGTCCCGAGGCATTCGGTAAGAAGGGGAGTGGGCTGCGTGTGAGTTCCCACCGTGGAATCCGGTTCTGCTCCGTACTCTGCGTTTGGGGGGCCGAATGTTCAGACCTACTGTGTCTATCGGGGGCCATGGTCGGGTGGTGGGAGTTGGGGGGAGGGGAGTGGAGCAGCTCGGATGGATCCAGGGAAGGATTTAGTTGAATCCCAGCTGCCCACATACTTGTTGCTGGTCTTGGACAAGCTGCCTAGTTTCTCTGAGCTTCGGTTTGATTGTAAGACTAGGATGCTGTCCGAGTCTGAAGATGTCGGTGTGTGTGGGAAATGCCTGGCGCAGTCACAGTTGGTTTTCCCTCAGCCTCCTCCGTGCCCCTCCCTGGGTCAATCAGTATCCATGGATGCCATAAGTAAATTACAGTCCGTCCGAAAAACCAGTTGATCCCTAGTTTTATGGTCAAGCATCGTGAGTGTCCTTGCCAGGAAATGCCACTTAGATGTCTTGGGCCTGCTCGTCTATGTCCACAGCAAACCTCAGAACAGGCTGATTCAGGCCGTGGGAGGTGGGAGTTGGTGTTGTATGTAGGACAGGCTGAAGTCAAAGGCTCATTTAGTCTGTGAGGGGTGATCAGGATGACACATCAAGAGGAGCCAGGTGGCTGACCCTGGAGGTGGACGGTCGGGTCGGAGTGGCCACCCTCCAGCACGTGTTTCGAGGGATGCCTTCCCTGGGTCACGCAGTCCTGATCTGTAGCACACAACTTCCCAGCTCCAGCCAATCTGGTCTTGCCGTCTCCTTCCAACTGCGGCACAGTTGCCTTTAAGCGGCTCCTTCTGGACACCGCAGGGCGGCAGCAAGCAAGCATGGGCGGCTTTTTTCTTACGTTGACCAAAATACAAAGGGCCAGCTTTGCATGATCCCATTCAGCATCACACGTGTGCATCGGCCACTCACCTGTCCATCTGCCACAGACAGGCCTGGACCAGACCATTGAGTGGTCTTTGCGGCAAAGAGCGTAAAGGGCTCACAGGAAACCCGGAACCAGCGCAATGCTAACAGCGCAGCAATACCTGTCATTGATCAAGGGGTATTCTGAGCTGGAGGCGGTGTTAAGTGATCTAGTTCGGTTAGCACTCTTAGAATTAACCCCCTTTTGCCTATCAGGAAATCGAGGATGGAGGTCATTAATGCCGGGGAGCAGGGAGTAAGGGGACACACAGAGGCGCTGAGGGGCTGGGCACTCTGAGCCCACGGATCTGCCTACAGGCCACGGCTGCACAGGCACCAGAGCTGCTGCTCTTGGAGGGGTTGAGGAGCTCTGGGGAAAAGATGGAGGCTGACGTGTGTAAGATTTGGATATTTTCAGAAGAGATTTTCAGCCTGGAATGAGGATGTAAGTGACTGAATCGGAGTGATGAGCCAGAAAGCCTGGCTGCAGGAGCTCCCCTGTGGGGTGAGGGAGGAAGGCCTTGGAGGCGCATGGCTGAGCAAAGGCGCTGGGTCCCCAGGAACCACCCCGGGCTTGGAAAGGGGGAGAAACGCAGCACCCTGCACTGCAAGGGCACCAAGACGTGGTTGCGGTTCTTCCTGACCCTGACAGGCACAAATGGTGCTGATGGTGGAATGCACAGACTCTGCCTTCAGAGAACTCCTCCTGTCTTTTAAAACCTGGGCCACACATTTAAACTTGATGGCCTCAGGTCAATGGTCAGAAACAGTTTCTGAGGAGGTTGCGGAGATTGTGTGTGGCCTCTGATTGTGCACGGTCTCTGTGTGCCACCTCTAATTGTGCGTGGCCTCTGTGTGTGGCCTCTGGCCTCTGTGCGGCCTCTGATTGTGTGTGGTCTCTGATTGTGGCCTCTGATTCTGTGTGGTCTCTGCGCGGCCCCTGATTGTGGGTTGTGTTTTTCCCGGGATTAAGCAGATGAGCCTCGTGCTGGGACAGGTATGCCTTGTGTTGGGCATGTGGAGGAGGAGGAAGTTTAACCCATTCCCTCTTTGAGAATGGCAGGGCAGTAACAGAAGGGCGGCTGATTTATACATGCATGACCATCCTCGTGAGGTGACGACCTGAAAGGTTTACTGTTTTCCTGGAAAGCTGCTCTGGGCGTCACCATCACTGGTCAGGGACAGCAGCTCAGAAGCCCACTTAAGGTGCAGGGAGGGACCAGCGCTGATCACCCTGACGACCAGGCGATGGCTGTCTTTGCACAAAGCTGGGGTCAGAGTTAATTTGGAAAGTGTCAGCTTTGATTTAGGTCAAGACGGGTCAGTCTTCCTAAAATACTAGCCACGAAAGCTTTCATAGATTGTAGTTCTTTGGGAGGTTTATATATGGCTTTTAGACGTTTAAAGCATAGAGCACATGGCCAGTGTTGAATTACATTTTGTTCAGTGTAACTGACGGGACACTGGGCCTGAGTCCCAGGCCTGCCACGGGATTCAGGGAGCTTCAGAGAGGGGGATACATGTGCTCAAGTTTTCGCAGGTGGGATGGGACATGGGCACTGGGCTGGAATGCTCTAACCTTCAATCTTCAGTCATCGGTACTGAAATGAATGTGCAGGAACAAACTCACCTGTGTGCACACATATCGTTTTCAAAGATGGACGAGCTTTGGGAAATATCTAAAGATTTTTCAAGTTTTGAAGGAAGATGGGATGACACTGGAAACATCAGGAGTCTTGGCGGGTGACTAGGTCCATCACCACGTGCATGGTCCCTAACCTTACATGCCTCTGATTGGATACAGTGGGTGACCAGGTCCATAACCTTGAAAGCTTCTGATTGGGTGCAGCTGGTGACTAGATCTGTAACATTGCCTGGCTCTGATTGGACACAGCAGGTGATCAGGTCCATAACCTCACACTTCTGTGCACAGCGGGTGACCAGGTCCCTAACCTCAAAAGCTTCTGATTGGGTGCAGCTGGTGACCAGGTCTGTAACCTCGCACGGCTCTGATCGTGCACAGTGGGTGACCAGGTCCATAACCTCACACCACTGATTGTGCATAGTGGGTGAGCAGGTCTGGAACCTCGCACACCTCTGATCATGCACAGCGGGTGACCAGGTCCATGACCTCATGCCTCTCTGCACTGTGGGTGACCAGGTCCATAACCTCACGACTCTGATCGTGCACAGCTGGCGGGCGCAGGACCCACTTCAGTGAGGGGCTGACTTCCCAGGTGTGAAGGGGAAATGCTGTGTGGCTCGCTAAGCCCGTCCATGCTTTGGGGGCTCCAGGCTGTGTCTGGCAAGTAGGATGTTGTCCCAGGAGGCCGCTGTGTGTTGGGGACGGGAGACAGCTGCAGGGTGGAAGTAGGATGTTGTCACAGGATGCCTCTGTGGGGAGGGGCGGGGGGACGGGAGGCAGCTGCAAGGTGGAAGCAGGATGTTGTCCCAGGAGGCTGCTGTGTGGGGATGGAGGCGGGAGGCAGCTGCAGGGTGCTGAGGGCATCTGTATTGCTGGGAGTGGCCTGATCCATGCCTTCTGCACGTGAGTTCTGGCGATTCTCTTCCGGCATGTTGGTGTATCATTCAGCGCCACCATCACATTTGAAATGAACTGTGCTCTGAGTGGCCCTGTCCTAGGTCATGATCACACGCTGGACTTGAGCTGTGGGAACCACATGGACAGTTGGAGGCCTCAGACCCCAGGGCTACACACACCGAGATTTCCCGGCTGTGTCTCCCCAGGCCTCGGGCTGATCTCCCTTGCTGCTGCTGTCCCAACCCCTGACACGGCACAGCTTCACTCTCAGAAGATGTCATGGAGCTTGTCTGCTGTTCGTAAGTCTTATGCACATTTGGATGTGTTGGCTTCATGCAGAAGTCCTGCAAGCAGGAGATAATGGAGGCTTGGCTCCAACTGGTCTCCAGGAGTCTCTCTCCACCTGCAACCCAGCAAGTCAAAGTTACTTAAATGTGTCATCCAAAGGTAACAAGCATGGGAAACGTGTCAATGCTGTTCAGTGCGAGGTGGTTCTGGGAATGCCAGTACACTCTCGTTTTGCCAAATGTCATGTGTAGATGTCACAGCCTCCTTTTCTTTGTCACCCGTGTTCCTAATCCCCTGGATTTCTCAAATCTCTGGATTTCTCAGGTTCTTTACTTCTCCAGGAAAAAAAAACCTGCCCCATTGTCCTGTTCCCTCTGAAAGGGGGCTTTTACAGCAGGAGGGGATGCAGCAGCTGTCAGTATAGGCACATGCAACATCCTACTAGTCTCAGGGGCACCCAGAGGGAATATAGCTGGGCAGTTGGTCCCCATCTCCTGTGGCATCAGGGACACCCACAGGAAGCACACCTGGGCAGGTGGCTTCATCTCCACTGGTGTCAGGTGCACACAGGACTCACAGATGAGCAGGTTGCTTATTGCCAGGAAGTAAAACTGGGGTTCAGCCCAGAGCCTCAGGCAGGGGGGTTAACAGATTGGAAAGGTTGAGAACCTAGGCTTGATCACTGAGACACAAATTGTGGCAGTAGAAGGTGGACATTCCCCCGTCCATTCTTCAAACGTTTTGATTTCTCCTGTTTCCCTGAGCAGTGTCTTTTTAACTCCTAAAGTAACTCCTGCGTATATATCTGTATATCCTTGTAGAGGGACTAGAGACACTGCTGGAAAATTAGTAACTCTGTATTGATGAGGTGCCAGTTATTAGTCTGATGCCTTAAAACATCAGCGATTGGAATTGCGCCTCCGAACATGACTGGCTGTGTTGCCGTTCTCTGTACGGTTTTCTTTTGGGGAGGTGTGCACGGTTCCGGGAAGAGTGCTGGGCTGCAGTAATGTGGGGGTGGACACAGGTCCCAGCAGAATAGTATCCCTCGGAGGGCAGGGTAGGGATCCCATGGGTTCACGGCGGCTTTATTGAATGAATGAATGAACTTAGCACTGAGTCACATGATCTCAGAGAAACGGCTTTGAGTGTTGAGAAATGGAGACTGAAGCGCTCACCTGCTCTCTTTGAGTATGATTTCGTGTCAGTGCCGCTTGGAGCTGAGGGTCTGACATGCAATAAAAGCTGTGATGCAGCCATGAAGTGTGATGTTCTAGTGATTTGGTTTATGCAGTTGTTGCCTTCTGTTATGAGGCTGAAAAGAACCAGGTTAGTGGCCAGTTGTTACTCAGGTCTTGTGCTTTCTTAGGAAAAAGGAAGATGTACTAAATTTTTAGTGGCAAAGTGACACAACACGGGAACACAGGAAGCATCTCATCTCGTTACTTGTGACTTGGTCACGGAGCCTGTGGGTGCTTCTCTGCACGGTCAGACTTGATCATTGAGCCGTGGGTGCTTCTCTGCATGGTCATCCTGCAGCTTCCAAGTTCCGTCCTCACTCTCCCAGACTACTGTGGTCATGCTAGGGATCCGACTCGCAGGTCTGATGGCAACATTTCATGCTGGCTTCGTCCCCCAGGACTTGTAAGTGGCTCATGCCTGGAACAGTCCGTGGTAGCAGAGTAACTGGGTGGCCGGCCTCGGCTTCCAGCATGACCTTCCTTTATTCTCCACAGGGCGTTGGAACTAATTTTTGTGCAACAGTGATTTGACAGTGATTGATATGCTGTGGGTCTCCAGCCCAAGGAGATGGGGATAAATACTCTTTGTTGCTCTTTCATGCTCTGGGTGGACAGGGAGTTGGGTTGAAGGCTGCAGGTGATGCCTGCATGTGTTGTGAGAGGAAGAGAGTATTTCCATGAAATCCTCTGTTTACAGAATTAGATCAGTTGTATCTATAACACAGAAGTTGAAAGCAGTTGATTTCCAGTGTGATCAGGAAGCTGGAATTTAATTTCTGAATTTAATTTCCGAATTATTTCACAGTAACAAAATAATTACTGTGGAAATAAGTCTTTGGACTTGGAATTGAAATGAATGGCGGTAAATTTAGGGTAAGTCACAGTAATGGGTTTAGACAAAACATCTGATGTAGGCGGCAGAGTTTTTGAGGTCTGTATAGAACCGTGATGAAAATGGTAGGGGACAAAGAAGGATTCTCCTGTCCTGAAAGATTTAAAAAGTGGATTACAAATGCGGACCTCAGGGTTCCTATAGAGGCTGTCAAACATAACACGGTGCTTCGCAGCAGAAGGGTAAGAGCCAAAGGGATGTCTCTGGATGTTCTTCAGATGAACCCTCCCTCTCAGTGTGGAAGCTGTTTTTAGTGTCCACCGGTTCTGGGTCTGCCAGTGATGTCTCCTGGTCGGTCAGGTGGCGCGCTCAGAGAAAGAGGCAAGCAACCCTTCCGAGGTTTTCTGCCAGCTTTAAGATAATCTTTCTAGCCCTTGGTTCCATTTGTTTCTCCCTTGTAGTTTTATTTTGTTTTTTAAAAATTTATGTATCATAGCACTGTCACTCTTTTGTGGGCAGTTCTGTTAGTTTCCTAGTGCTTATGTCCATCCACTTCATTGAAGTGTCTGTTCGATCTTTCTCACTTTTTAATTGGAATGTTTATTGTCCTCTGTTTCTTTCCCTTTCATGTAACTTTTAGCTTGTGTTATCTACACAAAGTCCTGGCGGGATTTATGCTGGAATTGTAAGTCTGCAGGCCAGTGTCCTGGCGGGGTTTATGCTGATATTGTGGTAAGTCTATTGGTCAATGTGGAGAGAGCTGGCATCTTGACCATGTTGCCGCTTCTCCTTGGACTTGTGGCTCAGTTGACGTAGCTCTTTTCTTTCTTCAGCGTTTTGTGGTTTTCTTCATACACATCATCTGTGTGCTTTGTTAGATTTATGCTTAATTGCTTTTTATATAGCTACTGTGACTATTGTTTTTAAAATTTAAGTCCCAAGTACTAACTGTCCATATGTAGAGTAAGATTTGACTGTGTGCTGTGACTTGGCCTAACTCAGCTGTTGGATCTAGGACTGACTTTTGTAGATTCCTTGGGAATTTTGATATGTAGGCTATTGGTGTGACATGAGTTTTCTCATTTCTGTTTTCAGTTGCTTTGATTTGTGCTCATTATGATGCATTTTTACTGGCTTTGAGTTGAAGATAGAGCTTAGATTATGGACCTCAGATCTTACTTTTTTCAAATACAAGCCTTTCGTGCTATAAACTTACTTCCCATCATTATTTTGGCTGCATTTCACAGATTTTAGTTTTTATTTCAGTTCACTTGAAAAATATTTCCCGAGGGGCGGAGCAAGATGGCCGAATAGGAACAGCTCCAGTCTCCAACTCCCAGCGCGAGCGACACAGAAGACCGGTGATTTCTGCATTTTCAACTGAGGTACTGGGTTCATCTCACTAGGGAGTGCCGGACGATCGGTGCTGGTCAGCTGCTGCAGCCCGACCAGCGAGAGCTGAAGCAGGGTGAGGCATCGCCTCACCTGGGAAGCGCAAGGGGGAAGGGAATCCCTTTTCCTAGCCAGGGGAACTGAGACACACAACACCTGGAAAATCGGGTAACTCCCACCCCAATACTGCGCTTTAAGCAAACAGGCACACCAGGAGATCATATCCCACACCTGGCCGGGAGGGTCCCACACCCACGGAGCCTCCCTCATTGCTAGCACAGCAGTCTGTGATCTACCGGCAAGGCAGCAGCGAGGCTGGGGGAGGGGCGCCCGCCATTGCTGAGGCTTAAGTAGGTAAACAAAGCCTCTGGGAAGCTCGAACTGGGTGGAGCTCACAGCAGCTCAAGGAAACCTGCCTGTCTCTGTAGACTCCACCTCTGGGGACAGGGCAATAACAAACGCAGCCGAAACCTCTGCAGACGCAAACGACTTTGTCTGACAGCTTTGAAGAGAGCAGTGGATCTCCCAACACGGAGGTTGAGATCTGAGAAGGGACAGACTCCCTGCTCAAGTGGGTCCCTGACCCCTGAGTAGCCTAACTGGGAGACATCCTCCACTAGGGGCAGTCTGACACCCCACACCTCACAGGGTGGAGTACACCCCTGAGAGGAAGCTTCCAAAGCAAGAATCAGACAGGTATACTCGCTGTTCAGAAATATTCTATCTTCTGCAGCCTCTGCTGCTGATATCCAGGCAAACAGGGTCTGGAGTGGACCTCAAGCAATCTCCAACAGACCTACAGCTGAGGGTCCTGACTGTTAGAAGGAAAACTATCAAACAGGAAGGACACTACACCAAAACCCCATCAGTACATCACCATCATCAAAGACCAGAGGCAGATAAAACCACAAAGATGGGGAAAAAGCAGGGCAGAAAAGCTGGAAATTCAAAAAATAAGAGCGCATCTCCCCCGGCAAAGGAGCGCAGCTCATCGCCAGCAACGGATCAAAGCTGGACGGAGAATGACTTTGACGAGATGAGAGAAGAAGGCTTCAGTCCATCAAATTTCTCAGAGCTAAAGGAGGAATTACGTACCCAGCGCAAAGAAACTAAAAATCTTGAAAAAAAGTGGAAGAATTGATGGCTAGAGTAATTAATGCAGAGAAGGTCATAAACGAAATGAAAGAGATGAAAACCATGACACGAGAAATATGTGACAAATGCACAAGCTTCAGTAACCGACTCGATCAACTGGAAGAAAGAGTATCTGCGATTGAGGATCAAATGAATGAAATGAAGCGAGAAGAGAAACCAAAAGAAAAAAGAAGAAAAAGAAATGAACAAAGCCTGCAAGAAGTATGGGATTATGTAAAAAGACCAAATCTACGTCTGATTGGGGTGCCTGAAAGTGAGGGGGAAAATGGAACCAAGTTGGAAAACACTCTTCAGGATATCATCCAGGAGAACTTCCCCAACCTAGTAGGGCAGGCCAACATTCAAATCCAGGAAATACAGAGAATGCCACAAAGATACTCCTCGAGAAGAGCAACTCCAAGACACATAATTGCCAGATTCACCAAAGTTGAAATGAAGGAAAAAATCTAAAGGGCAGCCAGAGAGAAATGTCGGGTTACCCACAAAGGGAAGCCC